TTTTTAAATCGTAGAATACTGTATATTGCCGACAAAATTGAAACGGATCATTCCACAAATGCACTCTCCTGTTTTTTACTGAAACCGGAACAGCTCGAAATTTAATTTGATTTTCAACATATTTTCGAGCAAATACGAATTTAGCCGCATGGTTGATCCGTTTATTCGATTCAGCTGCTCTAAGCAAATCTTGAAATTCCAAATGGTCCAGTATGGAGTCGAGACAATCGATATTTAAATCAGTGATTTTCATCCTTTTAGTCGATTTTGTCCTTATTTTCTACCGGGAATAAATAGTTTCTCAATTAAAAATCATTGAAATTAAGTTTACAATAGTTTAAATCAAGTGCAACTTACTTGAACGATTGACGAACACCCTCTTTTCTTATTCCAGTTTTTGAAAATTGAGGTGAGTTTTTTTTTCTAACGGCAAACCAAGTTATCACTTCAACGTTTGAAATACATCTGAATGTAGTATTAGTCCTAATGTTTCATATTCCCTGTAGAATGGGTCATTAGAACACACAGCATACCTGTGTTAATTAGAACATTCCAAGCCCACCACTGCACACGAAAGAATTGTTTTACGACAGTGCCGAGACACATGCAAATTAGTATACCATCCGCTTATACATGGAATTGATAACTATTCAAAAACAAAAGAAGTTTTAAGACAACAATATTGTAAGTATATCGGGTCAGTCGAACTAGAAAGGAGTTTTATTTGAACAATGACAACACAGTTGGGATCGAACATTTTCTATACTACTGTATGATTTGAACTGTTGGGAAATGTTCAATGCGAAGTGGTGGCAATGGAAAATTTATGCTTTAGCTTTCAATTGGCTGTTCTGTATGATATTCGGGTATTGAAAGATTTGTACCAACTTCATATAATTTCTAAGAACAAGATGCCATTTCATTGTGATCATTATATATTGATTGAAATTTTGAAATTAGATCCATTGAACTATAACGAAATCGACATTTCTCGAACATGGGCTCATGCTGCTTGTGAGAATGCTAGATTCATTCACCAAACTGGGCGACACAATCAAACAAATCCGCTTTTTGTTCAGATCTACCGAATTTTTGCTCGCAAAACCCTCGATCAAACCATTTATAAATTGCCTTATCAAATTGCTTCTAATTTTATTCTCCATCAATTTTACACCCGGAATGTTAAAATCCGGTGATGATAGTGTTTTACAGCGTTCAATCCAGCCTCTCTGATCGTCTGTACAAATAGATAAGAAACGTAGAAAAAGAACAATAAAGCGGCACCTGGACACTGGTTGGAGAGATAGAGAATCATGCTCATAGTTTGCTGTAACAAGTACGCGTCTGTGTTAGTTCAAACGTTGAAAGTATGACACATTGCACTTAGTCCTCAGACGGCGCTGTATTATTTACTATTTTCATGATCAGAAACGCTGGCTCAATCCAAGAAGATATGTTTGGAAATTTGCTCAGATAATTGCCCAACTTCTACAGAGTCTTATACGTATTTTGGCGGTCTTCTTCATCGATTTGTAGTCAAAATATGAAGAATTCAGTTAAATGGAAGGATCAAATTATGGTTAAGTCATTGGTTTATTTGTATGTTTCTGAATTGAGGATAACGTGTGCTACGATCGAAGTGCAAACATTTTTTTCATCCGTCGCAACTGGTTGTACTGCTAGAGTAAGTATAACGTCAAACAAAATCACTATTAAACTATTTAGAATTTGAACGAAAATAAAACTCTACATGATTGGTTTCATAAAATTCATTTACAGTCCAGTTTCATGTCTCTTGATTTCGTACACTTTTATACTTATGTCCGAGAATAATAAAAATGAACATATCAGCAACCATTAGACCAGCAAATAAAAGGAATACATGAATTTGTGATTCGAATATATTTAATTCGGTGACAATTGCAACCAATGATTGAATTGCCAAAGCCAATTGTCAAGAGTCAAAATGATTGCACTACAGATTTCATATATGTTGGAGCCTGTTCATAAGCAAAAGCTAGCCCCGGTATATAGAACATTACGTCACCCATTGTCATGACTGCGATTTGAGGTAGTTGCCATAAAATGCTCAAAGAATTTGGTGGTTCCACTCGAACTCTCCATTCAACAAATGCTGACACTGAAATTGCGATGGCGGCTAGAAAACCGTTCACTTTGATTTTTTGAAGTGTTCTACGAAGACCGATCTTACTTAACAATGGATAAAGACAATAATCAAATAATGGAATGAACAATAAAAGTAAAATTGAACCAAATGTATGCATTTGATCCGGTAGAAGCGTATAAAAACCGAGATCGCCGTTCATCTTGGTAGCTTGAATCACCCAACTGGAGCCGCTTTGGTCAGTTAGCTCAAAAACATTGACAATGGCAAAGATAAAACGATAAGACTTGATAAACGTTTTGTCTCTTCAACCAATTGTAAACCAAATTGCTTTATCGAATAGTCGAGAGTTCTGCTCCCGCGCCACTTCGTTATAATTGCATTCTGTAAACGTAAGGGGAGAATAATGAATGATTCCCACCACAATACATTTGACCACTCGAACTAAAATGTTTTCAGATGGAGGACCCATTGTATACCAAGATTTTCCGAATAAGAATAACACTGAAATTTAGCGAGAATTCAATTTGCATTAAATTACTTGATATTCGAGAGAGTGATTAGGGGTAATAAAAACTAACATATCGCCGCAATCATCAAAATGGCTGGGACTCCGAAAGTCAGCGGAAAGCAGTCATCTTTTCCAAAGTAATGAACTTTGGCTCTAAGCATCGGAGTAAATGTTGTGGAAAGTAAGGAACCTACGAAGAAAATAAGAATTCAAATACTTCACCCACTCATAAAAGGAATAAGAAGGTGATTGTCGTTTTGCTAACCTGCATTGATCGATGGATAAAATAAGGAGAAGAATTTGGCCATGTATTCAGCAAAATTGATCACCAGCAAAGGATGATACACACGGTTTGATTCCACCATTTCCAAATGCAACGAGTATTAATCCGACGAACAGAAGAGCTTCAGCTGGAATATTCTGATAGCGCATGGTTCGCAGAAATACGCTTAAAGTCCAGATCTTTTTCGCCCAGTCTCTTGCACTCATCTGTGATTTATTTACTTTTGAAAATCCAAAAACTTTGAACCAACAATAAAATTCCATTGACGTGGACACCTTTTAACGTGTCGACAACTTTGTTCTTTTCATCTTGCAAATCTTTGTATTCCCGCTTGCAAAGGGAGAATTTTTCGGCAAACGTGTCAATTTTCGACTCTTTTTCACTTTTCTCTTTTTCCATTTGGTGCAATGAGTCCTTCAATTGTTGATTTTCTTGCTTGAGCAACGCAATTTCGTTGGCCAAACGCTTTTTGTTCTCCTGCAGCTCTTTTTTACCTGATAAAAGCATAATAATGGTTAAAATTGACTTGGAGTGCTAAATCGACTAGTATACAGTCTTGATGACACTTTATCAATACACACAAGCCACAGAATACTAACCATTCAATTTGGCAACCAGTCGGTCTTTTTCCTTCAGCAATAAGTCATATTTCATCGAAACACACTTGAAGTCCTGGTCTTTTTCTTCCAATCGCTTGCATTCATCTAAAAAAAAGGAAAAAAATGTATTCAAATTATTGTTCAATATCGTTTACATTTGTCAAGTTTTCCAATAGTCAAACTCTATATTCTAAAAAACAATCAAACCTTTGAAGTCATGCACAAGTTTCTTGTTTTCGGCCACCAACAATTTCAATTGTTCCGACTCCACTGAGTCACGTTCCATTTTTATTTGACGCAATTCAGCGTTTAGATCTTCAATTTTCAATTTAAGAGACGAAATCTCACAATCCATACGTTCCTTTTCATTCACCAAATCTTTCATGGCTACAATTGGAATTAGCGACAATTTTTGTTATTATTGACATTTCCAATAAAAAAAAATTGACTGGATAAAAAAACAAAAGGAAGATAAATACCGTTCAATTCATTGTCCAGCTGTTCTTTTTCACTTCGCAACAGATCATTGCTCATGGTTAGCCGGGCAAGCTCAATTTCGTGCTCTTCGAGTTGGTTGCATTTTGCTGTACAATGAAAATTTCCACTTATTTAATGCTCATGAAAGCACTTAATTGAAATAAAGCAAAGCGTCATACCTCGAAGCATCTCTTCCACACTATTTTTTTCATTAATCATAGCCTCCAATTGCGTATTTAGAGTGAGAGCTTCGGATTGTGCCAAGTTCCGTTGTTCCAATGCACGATTGAGAGAGCCGCTCAAGTCTTCATTTTTCAGCTTGAGCGTTGAATATTCGTTGTCAACGTATCGCTTGTCTCTTTTAACTATTTCGTAGTTTGATGAGATCTGTTCCAGCATCACCTCATTTTCCCCTAGCTGTTTACATTTCTCTGTGAATAATTTAAAAAAAATTGAATTATTATGTGTTGGTTGGAATCGAAGTAGCCCATTTTTTCAATAATTTTAGCGACCGAGTGATGTTTCAAAAGTAAATAGGGTTCGAAAAAAAAGTTTTATCATTAAAAAGTGAGTCTTTTTCCGTAAGAATTTAATTCACACTGGTTGTGTCATTTTTTAAGTGTTTAATGCATTTTTAATTCATAAAAGTATTAAACAAGGCTACTTTGATCGTCAACGACACATTTTGTAGCTAATCAAAAGATTTGGATGGAAAAAAATTGGTCAAGCCTGGGAGAAATTCTTCGACGCTTTCTTTTTCAATTTGAATGCACTCCAGTTGTTTGCTGAGGCTACCAAGTTCCGATCGTTCGAGGTCACGCTGCTTTATTGTCCAGCTCAATGCATCGTTCAAGTGGTTATTTTTCCGCTTGAGGGATGTCATTTCGTTGCTTGTCCGTTGATGGTCCTTCCGAAATAGATCTTGCTTCGTTGAGATTTTCGTATGTTCATAGTCACTTTCGAACTGTCGGTTTATTTCTGCAAAATTCAAATGGTTATAAATCAATTGCTTACATTTTGTTGAAAGAATGAACAAACCACTGCGAGTTGACCCAGCGTACTCATTTCCATTTCGCCCGTCACCATTGTGTTGCTTGGAATTCGACAATTCGTAACTTTTTCCAGCCGCAAATTGGTCGTAGTCGGAACAGAATTTTCCATCTGATGGATGCTGCAGCTCCATATGTTGTTTGATTGACTCTTCCGATGAGTATTTGTACGGGCACACATCGCATTTTTTCGTGTATTCAAACCAAGTCTTTTGTATAGAATGGATATCCAAAACGGGTTCACTGCTCATAAATGCGGCAATGGCATCAGCGATTGAGAAAAATGTGATGACAGCAACGTCCATATCCGAATCGTATCTCTCATTGACCCACAAAAGTGGACCAAATTTACTGAAGTATTTGTGCAATTCGTTACTGTTGTTCAATTCGGCCGGCACACCAGTCAACATGAGTGTACGACTGGGCATCACCACTGCACACGACTCCGATTCCATGATCGACATCTGGAATCTGCAATAACATAAAATCAATTAGCACCAAAAGTAGGGAAAAAAATACAAAAACTTCGCCGTTGTCACTTTAGTCGTCGAAAGAGCATCGTCGGATAGCACAAAATTCGAAAATTGCCTGACATTGACAACAAAGAAAACTTTGTTGTGATTCAAAGCTTGTGTATGACTAACACTTGACCAACAATTTTCTCCATTTGCTGAAGTATTTTGATGCATTTGTTGATTGACAGCGAGAGAACAAAACGCTCACCTTCGAAAATGCTCTGAATTTACTTCGATTTTGGTACAGATAATAACTGAAACGTACAAACGAGACAAATAATTTCCGAGTTGTATAGAAGTTAGAGTTACAATGACAGAACCACTCAAACGACCGCGCACTTGAAGCTGCTTCATCTGTGTAGACTGTGTGTACAATTCAAGCGTCGCATGGCACACACACAGAAGCAATCTATAGCGAATCGATACACTTACACTTGTCGCTGTCTACTAGGATCGTCATAACGTTGCCACTTCACGTCGTTGTTGCAGACGATTCGTATGACACGTCATAAATTCCGTTAGAGTGCTTGTTTATACTCGAATGAGTATTAGTCATTTTGCTTCACCCATTTTCCTCTTGTTGAAAAACGTTAGAATTCAAGTGAGCGCAGAATTAAATGCTATTCACCAAATAAGCCAATGTAGAGAGAAGAATTGTTCTTTTTTCTGAGTTGATAAAATTAACAATGAATATTTATTTATCGAATAAACCAAAGACGATACATAAAATGTGTACGTATGAATTGAAAAAAAAAGTGAAATGAACTACTTTCCATAATAAGCAGACTATTTCATTAGAATGCTTAATTCTGAACCACTTGATACAAAAATTAAAATTGGCAAATGATGAATATAGTGCTTGAGTATGGCACGCTGAAGAGGATTCCTGAGTCTCAAACTCCATTTTGCTGAAATGATAAATCAATTGTTGAATATTCTGAAAAAATGACACCATACATTTGTTTTTGACTCACATTTCGACCACCACACACTTTCACCAGTGTTTCATGGAGCATTTTCACTTCCAAGCGTCCATTCTGAAGATCTTGCATTAGTCGGGTGTTTGTTGTTTCAAGCATCGTGATTTTTTGTTCCATTGTCGCGAAAACCGCATCTTTTTCTTTCAATGAATCATCTTTTTCTGAAGGAAATAAATCACCTACTGTTATGATTATCTTTATAAAAATGACTACGGCTTTCAAACAAACCTTTCAGGTGTTCTGCGAATCGTTTCTTCTTCTTTTTCAACTCCTTGGAATGGGACTTTTCAATCTCTTTCAAATTGTCCTTCAGCGTCTTAATTTTGATGCGTAGCAGCTCTATTTCTCGGGCCAATGCAAATTGATCGATTTTCAGCGGTGACCGTTCTGTTTCAATGTGTTCTTTGGACTCCCATTTCGCATAATTGGATGTTGAACGATGCAATGTTTCTTGTAGGTGCTGGTGCTGGTGCTTGTGAATGTTGCATTGCAAATATCTCAAACAATGCCTGAACCATTGTGCATTCGCTTGATGTGCCAATCCCGATGCCATTTGCTCGCAAATGTTCGCTTGCAAAGTGAACACTTGTTGTCAACACCTTTATCGCCTGATGCTCTTGGCATTGATGCTGCGGCTGCGTTGGCTTGTGATGAATTCCACGACATTTTGATGAATCGATTGTTGAGCACGGCTTCGGGACTGTCGAAAGCCGCACTGGCCTCTTCATTTGTGGCAAATGTCACTTTCGAAGCACTCGGATCACCGTTGTGGGCCACTTCAACATTCAACACTTTGCCAAATTTTCCAAAATAATTACACAGTTCCAGAATTGTGTTTTCTTCCGGTAGAATGCCATCCAAATACAGAGTGCTGTTGCTCTCCGTGTTAGGAGATTTCGATGGCGATGACATTTTTCGTCTCAATTTATCTGGAATGAAATTCAAAAACAACCACAAACTAAAATACTGAAGGGTTCGATATATTTTATGTAGTTTTTCACATCGTATTCGCATCAGAGATTTCAACTCAAAAACAAAAAGGAAAATAGTTGTAAGTCGGAATTTTTCTTGCCATTAATTGTTCACAGTAATTCTTTATTCAGGACACGCTATTTGAACATTTCGATGTATTTGATAGCTGCCAGAGGTTGGTTGCAGATAAATTTATTTATATAAATTTCAAATATCAAATAAATTTATCCGATATTTTTCATGCGTTGTGTTGTTCTGACGCATTCGTAGTACATAAACGAAACATCGGCTGTTGTATTGGCACGGCAGCCAGCTATTCATCGCAGGAATGAGATTTTTGTTTTGTTTATTTACCGATATTTGTGAACAAGTCTACCACTGTGTCACTACATAGTATATACAGGGTGGCGCAATCTAAGTGTAACTAAAACAGAAGACTATAACTTTTTTGTTTTTTGATTTTTTTATTGCTCTAAAGGCACGAAATGTTGCAAAATGATACAAAATTTAGAATCAGCTTCCAGATTTTATTTTCAGTTGCACTGGATCGAGTAATGCCCTCACGTCCACCATTTTTTTAAATGTGTTTGCACGGAAGTGGTAGTTTTGACAAAAATAGAACTTTTGAAAGAAATCTAATATAGCTTGAGTAACCAAAAACCATGAAAGTAATTAGATTCTAGTTCGTAGAATATTATAAAATAGCTCCAGTCTTTATTGGACCACTATCACCCATGTATGACTCCTTTTGAAGGTCGGAACTGTGATAGTCCCCAATTATGGAATTTTTTCACCATTTTCTCCATTCTGACCCCAAAATAAGTGACATCGTGTGACGTCATTGGTGTTGGGGTGAAGATTGGAGCTCTATAAATATAAACCAGGCCATAATGGTTCCAGAAGATTCCAATAAAATACTTAAATTTAACCCATATTAGAAGAAAGCCATGCTTTGGTGAAAAAAAACGACTTTTTAGAGCTCATTTTGGTCGACTATTGGCTGTCGATTTTGATGAAGAGGGTTTCCAAGGACTTTCATTCCTGAAGTATATTACAAGGCAATGTTAGCCCACAAAAATACCAAACATGGGTTATCTCAATGTGAAGACTATAGCCAGAATAAGAACTAATTCCAAACACCCACGTTCGTGCAGGGCTCATGTTGTTGAATCGTAGTCTTGAAGTCATAACTCGATCCAATGCAATTGATATTGAAATCTGGAAGCTGGTTCAAAATTTTTAATCATTTTACAACATTTCATGCCTTAAGAGCAATAAAAATTATCAAAAAACAAAAAAGTTATAGTCTTTGGTTTTAGTTACACTTCGAGTGCGCCACCCTGTATAGTCCATAAGAAATGTGCAGAGACGAAAATGTTCGCCATTTAGTTTTACATTGCCAATACATTGGTTATGGAGATTTTTGTTTTGTTTATTTTTTGTCGTTTGTAAACAAATCTGCATATCTTTTTGCATTGTCTCTACACACTTCTTATGGACTATATATACTATGTAGTGATACAGGGGCAGAATTGTTGACAAATAACGGTAAATGAACAAAACGAAAATCTCATTCCAGCAATAAATAGCCGGCATTAGAACAACACGACGCATGAAAAATATCGGTTAAATTTATTTGATATTTGAAATTTATATAAATAAATTTATGTGCAACCAACCTCTGATAGCTGCACCCGTTTACTGTCAAATTTTGAACAATTGTAGAGCGCCGTGGATTTCGTACGGTAAAATTCAGTACTACTTGGTGTGATTTTGAGGTATTTCAAAATATGTGAAATTACTTACGGCTATTTACAGCTCAATCACACCAATTAGTACTGAATTTTGCCGCACAAAATCCACGGCGCCTCACAATTTCACACTTCATATTCTGTATACAATAAATGCGAGATTATAAGCGTGTGGATAGCTGTTGTTATGTTTCTAACAGCAAAATAAAAATAAAATCTTTCATCGATTCAGCTCGTTCAATCATCACGGAATTTAAGTGCAATAATTAGGGCTCCTTCCTCTGGTCTTGGTTCGAGGATAAAATGCATCTTGATGACATTTCCCTGAGAAAGATCAAACAATCATGCTACATTTATTCTATTCGTTATTTTAAGTGCAAAATAATAGTTTTCTACTCACACCATACGGAACAAGCAAAAATAAGCTCCGCAACCATTTTTTATTACCACCCAACTGAGGATCGATGTTGATCGTATGCTTTTCAATTGAAGATAAATCATAAGTTGAATAATAATAACAATACAAACAATGTTCGCGAAAATGCCATCAATCTTGTTCAAGTCAACTTTGTCATCGTTCATCTTTACGGTCGCATTTGGTTAAAATGGACATAAGTTAGTAAAAAAAACAATTCTAGTATTGAATCTTAAGATTTATCTAGAAAAAATTACGTGAAACTAATTGACATAAGATATTCCACCGCCACTTGAATGACATGAAACCAAATCAACGAAAAACAAATAAAAAGAGTCTTTTGCGGTAGCTTTTTCGTCTTCCATTTTGTGGTGTGAATCAAACAATTTATCTGGAATGAAATTGAAAAATAAAATGTTTTACCATGTAAAACGAACTTTTCCGCAGATTTTAGATGGTCACCATGATGGACGGATATAGTGTCCATGTCCACGCCCATTTTAAAACCTTTCATATGACACCCATGTCAACTATTCATATAAAAAAATGCTGTTAAGTGGTGTTAACATAACCGTGATGGACCGGTATGGTGTTCATGTTCATCTTCGTTCAAAGACCTTTCATATGATACACATATTGACTATACTATGTAAAAATAGTATGAAGTCCATCGTGGTCGACCATCGTGTTATAACCTCATTTAACATCACTTACCATGGGAAAATCGTGTAAAAACAGTAAAAAAAAAAATTATAGAATTTTTTTTTTTCGATTGAAAAATTCAAGGGGGACCCAGGGTCCAGAGATATTTTATTGAAGATTTATTCAACTTTTAAATTTTCAAATTGAAATGACAGAAATTGCCAGGCATGCCTGGCAAGATTTTGAAAATGCCGGGCAGGCATTGATTTGTGATTTTAGTTCGAAATTGCCGGGCAGTCAGGCGCTGCGCTTGGCAAATGGGACCTTTAACAATGGGGGTCTAACAATTTTGTTAATGGGTGTCGAAAAAAAGTGAAGACCTTAAAAAAAGGTCTTCGATTCTGAAAATCGATTCTATTTAGTGTAAACTACTCACAATCGCTCAAAGGGGCTCTCTGATTTTCAAATCCTAGATAAGGGGTAAAACCGGAAAACCCCTCCCCTTGCACAAGTCTGCGTCAAAACCTACCTATTTGGAATTTGAACTAAAATAAAACTCTTGGAAATCCAACATAAAAGCCATTCACAACTGTAGCTCCTGATTTCGTACACCTTTATACTTTAGTGTGAGAAAAATAAAAATGAACATATCAACAATCATTAAACCAGCAAATAAAAGGAACACATAACACTGTAATTTGTGGTGGTTGCCATGAGATGTTGTCATTTAACAAATGTCGATATTAAAATTGCAATTGTAGCTTAAAAAAACGATTGTCATTTTCTGTAGCGGTCTACGAAGACCGATCTTACTTGGATAAACACAATAATCCAATAATGGAATGAACAATAAAAGTAAAATTGAACCAAATAATAGGAAACTATCTTAGTTCTTAAAATCTACCAAAGAGGCTGTCAACAGATATACATAGGAATGTCAATAAGAAAGCGCCCTCTTTGTCAAATATCTTGTTGTTGGTCAAGAAAAAGTGTATATAGTTCCCTGTTGTTGATTGAACCAAATGTATGCATTTGATCCGGTAGAAGCGTATAAAAACGGAGATCGCCGTTCATCTTGGTAGCTTGAATCACCCAACTGGAGCCGTTTTGATCAGTTAGCTCAAAAACATTGACAATGGCAAAGATAAAACGATAAGACTTGATAAACGTTTTGTCTCTTCAACCAATTGTAAACCAAATTTCTTTATCGAATAGTCGAGAGTTCTGCTCCCGCGCCACTTCGTTATAATTGCATTCTGTAAACATAAGGGGAGGATTATTATTATTAGTCGTAGAGAACAATATGTGTTTTTAATCAATAAAAATGAATGATTCTCACCACAATACATTTGACCACTCGAACTAAAACGTTTTCAGACGGAGGACTCATTGTATACCAAGATTTTCCGTATAAGAATAACACTGATATTGAGTGAGAATTCAATTTGCATTAAATTCGATAGAATGATTATTTTATAAAATGTCAGGTCAGACGTGTAATAAAAATTAACCGATCGCTGCATAACACAAAATTATTTGACTTCTTCCCCTTGCTGTCTTACAGTGTGTTTTTACTCACAGGGTCATTAGAACATATACATGTCGTTTGGACTTTGGAATTTCCTAATGATCAACACATATACCATACACAAATCACAAAGCAAATAAATAGGTAGGATTTCCATCAATTCTTTCTTCAAGCAATAACAACAACTTTTTGTGTGATAAATGATTTATTTAAAAGTAAAATTGAAGATAAAATATAAATAAGCATATCATATGCGTATAACTGAAATGCAAATGATTGGAATACAATGGATTATTATATGGATACTTTTCAGAATACTATGGATTATGTATAAAAGTGTATTAATCAAAATTCATCTATTTTTGAAAGATCGCGAAAAGTATATTAGGCTAGTTTGAGGTGACAAGAGTCAATTACAATTGTATGGATTCGAATTGAAATAAACGATAGTAATAAACATCATAGCGTTTTGAACATTGTATCGTTCGTCTAAAACTTTTGAAAAAAAAGTTAATCTATGTGGTGTTGCTTATTATTATGTAATATATCGATCTAGGTGGAAATTCAAAGAACAACTATGACTGGTTTTGCTATTTCCTTACGCAATTGAAACGTACGTACAA